AAAGAAAATACTAAGACAATGCAGCTGCATAATTTATTAATGTCGAAATGCATGCTGGGAGCCATGGATGAGTTATGATTGGTGCACAATTGGTGAGAAAGAGTGCTATATGGCACCTCTTATGGCTCTACATGGCACCATTTGACAAAGTGCTATATAGCACCTGTAAAAATAGGTGCTTAATAGCACTAAAAGTGGTTCCCCTATGATTACAAGCCAAAGAACCGCTTTTAGTGCTATATAGCACCATTTTTTTTAGAGTGTAGAGCCAAAATTGATTGTATTTAATATTAGATTAAACATAAAATATCATATAAATCAAAGTGTCTTATAAACTTTCTTGATGTTTTGATCATAGGTTAGCTTAAGCAGGGTCTAAGCCTTGGTTAAATTAGGATATTTAGGTAGCTTTTATAAAAATGTCCACTGATGTACTGTTCCAACGGCATGTGTTAACTAACAAACTTAATGCTAATATTGTACAAATTTGAAAAATATGACATACACAATTACCTGCTTTGTCATTGTCGTCGAGCAGATGTTGAGGTCGTGCCCTTTTGCGCGGATTTCTCCTCTCCATCGCCATGCTTTCTTCTGAACTGGAACTGTGTGTACGTCGATTCTCCAATCTTATTTGCGTATAACGCCCATCTCTGCTGATTAATTCAATCATCTGATGTGACTCCTCCCCATTGAGGTCATTACTCCAAAGTGTAATAACATTAATGGCTGGCTTTATTAAATTGTTTGAAGATATTCAAATAACTGGAATAAAGTTTTTATTTTTCATTCGGTCTTGCTCAAATTGTATGTTTGGTGCGATAAATGGCTCTTGAATGAAATGCTGTAATCCGGATCTTTTTAACAGTTCTTGAGCACATAGATCCAAAACCCTTTTAGGTTTGATTTCAGATTTAGATATTTTTGTGGTTGTCCAGTGATTGCTTGCCCTTTAAAAAGTAAAGTTTCGAAACACTGTAACATGAATCGCTAAAGTTTGTCCAATGAGTACGTTTGGCGTGAACGTAGTACGGAACTTTTATAAATAAGGACAAAAAGGCACCTACCGAATCAGACGTTGTACATGTTTTTCTTCTTCTTTATTTTAGATCTCCTTGTAGTTTTTCTTGGTGGCAGGTTTTTTGAGCAGCGAAATAATGGGACTTGGAACGAAAGTTTTTTCACTTTGTGAGCAGACCAGCAGAAGAGCTACAAGAAGGTTAATTAAATGGCTAAAAAAAACACAGTCTGCATTTCATCCTTGCTTTGATGAGTCTGTGTAAAAAAAAAAAAGAAGAAATTCCAGAGGACACAAACAGGCGATGGATACCAATGGTAAATGTAGAATAAAAGTTTATATAACAAAAAAAAAAACTGCAATAGAACGGTATCTTTAAAATCCATGTTATGGTAAGTGCACACGCGAAGTCCCTGTGCATTTTCTAAAATCCACACTGTGGTAAGTTCGCACATTAAGCTTTTTGCATTCTTTCTAAAATCTTGTATGGTAGAGGCTACAGCTTTGTGGCCTTTCTTGAGTCGGTTAGGCCCCGGTTCCACCTTGGGCACCACTCCACCTATGTATCCTCAGGATACCTACTTTAACAGGGTGTTGCTACTAGGGGTCTGTTTTTGGGGTATGTAGCTTAGGCCTTTGGCCGTAGGGGATAATGTCACTGACAGCCATCTAACATCCCAGGGGCAACTCCCTTAAAGCTTTGGTAGAGTTGATACTTAGTGCTCGCCTGTGTTTTGGCATGCACTCCCCTCAGCATGGTGGCGTGGGTATACTGTTCCCCATAGCGACCCCTAGAGGAAGCAGTTCGAAATTCCCTTGAAAGGGAACATCTCAGGTCACGTATGTAACCATGGTTCCCTGAGTAGGGAATGAGACACTGCGTCCTCTAGGTTTCCTGCCATGCTTCGGACGCAAGCTTCAGACGAAGAAGTGGATGACTTGTTCTCCCGGTGCCTATTTATACTATAGTCGCACCGGTAGTGACATCATAGGCTGTCACCGGCCAATGTTATTGTCGTGTTTAGATATATGCTTCAGACTCCGGTCACACTGAAGGTGTTCCCCATAGCGAGCCCTAGAGGACGCAGTGTCTCTTTCCCTACTCAGGGAACCATGGTTACATATGTAACCTGAGACGTTTTTTATGAAACTAATGTTTGGTGACTGGAAGGTTGTTTTCGTCAATGAAAAAGGGGTCAAGAAAGGAAGAGATTTGAACCTTCCTGTGTGCAAGGAAGGAGGAAAGTAATTGATGGGGTCGATAAGTTGAATATATGGATAAAATTGCCATTTCTTAATTGATCTGTTTTGCTACGTTTGATGAGGAAACGAATGGTGTCATTATCTAAATCTTGGATATTGGAGAAGGTTGGGTGGATTGCTGGATTGAATTTTTTATTTGTTGTAATTTCAGAGACTCTGAGGAACCTGAAAAAAAGCCAGGATAAACATGGTGTCCAGAGTTCTAGCTGTGTCGGGGTCCATGGATCTGGTCAAATGACCAGAACGGAGGAAAGTCAGGCATTTGGCTAGAAGATCGATGGATAAAGGTTGCCTGGAATCAGGGCGAGTAGGGTTGGTTTTTTGGATTCCTTTGATTAGGAGAGTGATCTGGGGGTTTGTTTTAGCGAGACATGGATGTCCGTAGATTAATTTAAAGAAAAATTGAATGGCGCTAAGATAGACTTTGATGGTACTGGATTGGATGGACTTAACTTGGTTAAGATACATAATGAAAGAAGATATTGAAAGGAGGAAAAAGTTGGCTGTAGGAGGTATGGAATTTACCTCACCCCATGCTGTCCAGTAGGATTGTAGAGTTCTGGGTGAGACTGCGTGTAATATTGAGTCTAGGGAAAGGGTGTGGAGATGTTTGAGTGGGTGAGTTACAGGAATATCAAGTCTGAATAGGGAGGTACTGGGGTTGGGTCTGTAGATAGTGAAAGTAGATATTGAGTAAAATTTTGGTCGGGGTGATTTGCCAATTCTTGCGTCAAGGAGGAGATCTATCTAATATCTAATATGAATTAATATTATTATTAATACAAGTTTTTTTATATTATAGGCAATATCTGCTAACACTTTATTTTGATGGCTTCCCAACAGATGTTCTACTGACTGTAAGTAACGTTGCAAGGTCAAATTATTTTAATAACCATAACCTCTTATTTTAATAACAGTCTACTAATACTCAACTAATACTCTAATGGGAGTTGGGTTTTATATATTTTAAGCAATGTCTGTCAACACTGTCAACCCACTCTCATAAATCATGTCAATAGTTTTTGCTATGGTTATTGAGGCAGCTTCATCTGAGGAAAAGACAGAATGGCCCCTCTTGACAAAACATACAAAAAAATATTAATTTGGTCAGCTATCAGCTGTCAACGCCATCAGGTTTTATGTCCAACAGAGTTGACTTGTAAGCTGATGGAATTGACAAGTGTACTTTTCAAATGATATATGAGAATTATTCAAATGTTGTTTTTAATTTAATGTATATTTGCCCTGATTTACATACCTAGCATACATAATATATTTGCATATACTGCAGGCATGCATGCAAACACACACACACACACTGTTCTTACTTTCTATATGAGGATTTATTTTTATTCTGACATATTTCATTGACAGAAGTTCAGCTTCAGTATGAATGTAATGAAGAGAAAATAAGAGACATCTCAGTGTTACTGATAAATCTTGCAGCTCAGAGTATTATTTACAATTACTCTACGATCTATTCTGATACATCAGCACAGTTTCACTGATGATCCAGAATAAACATAAAACCCAGGATAGAGCGTCTGAGTGAATGCGGTCTGGACTGTGTGGATGAGACTCATTGTGTCAGAGACGCTGTAGAAGGACAGAGTTCCTGCACTGTGATCCACAAACACTCCTATTCTCCTGCTGGATACTGCAGGGAGTTTAGTCACTATGTCATTGTGTACTAATGAGTAACTAGAAGGAGAGCAGAACAAACTCCAGGACTGGTCATTACGTCCAAACACACGCTCATAACTCCGTCCTTTCCTACTGATGCTCTTATATGACACTGATATATGTACACTCCCACTCCACTCGATCTCCCAGTAACAGCGTCCACACAAACTCTCTCTGCACAATACCTGAAACACATCAAATCTGTCTGGATGATCAGGATACGGCTGCTTTGTTCCAGTGTATTTAATAACTCGGTTCCTCTCAGAGAGACAGAGACATTTATTCACTGTGTTCAGATCCAGAGTGAGCTGATGGAAATCTGATGGAGATAAAATGCATCAGAATCAGGAATTATAAATATGGTTGGTCTTTTCAGAACTCTTCATGTTTAATGTATCGGCAGTGTCTCAGTACAGCTGACCAGCTATCCTGTGCAAATCATCATTTACATTGACTTACATTGTAGGAAGTCATTCCTGGTCCTGGGAGCAATGTTGGTCATTGTGACTGTGGAAATCAACAGACAAGAACAGTAATTATAATGTCAAGAGAAAATGATCCCTGCATCCATTCCTAAGACATTTAAAATATTATGTTGTACATGATATTAGATGATGGCGGACTCATTTCTGGGAGCAGATGAATCTCCAGGGGCCTCATTTATAAAAACATGCATAGAATAATCCTAAATGTGAATGTACAACTGAAATTTTCCTAAGAATGATTTATACTGTATGCACAAACAATTGTACCTGCAAACAAGTGCATTATCCCTACTTACAGAACAGTTATGGTTCAGAAAAAGTACTACTCATCATAATTTAAAATGTATATATATATATATATATATATATATACACACACATGCACAAGTGAGCTGTTGTTTCTTTTGCATAAAACAATAGTAAAACATTGTGCCTATTTATCTTCACATTTTCATAATCAAAGTTGGATTATTTTAACAATTGGTATATGAGTGCAAAAGCTTAATTCACATGCTCTTTAGTTGGGGTATAATGTAAAAACTGATGTGAAAATGGTCACTACCTCGGTCAGAGATCTTTTTGAGCTCTTCTTTGCAGAAATCCTCCAGTTT